TTTAATTATTATCAGTTATTTAATAATTAAGAGTTATACAAATTAAAAAATTTAGATTCGTATAACTCTTACGGTATATTTTCCATGTTTAGATTTTACTATATTTATTAAATTATTAGATATTTCTAATGTCTATCTAAAGTCTATCTATGCTAGTTCTGATTCGGTATCAAACTGCCAATACTAAATAAAACTTTAAAAGGTTTTAAGAATTTGGGTTGCGGCTTATAACAGTTGTTCCATGACAACACCGTACTCTATAGGCCGCAAATGATTAGATTCTATAGTGAATCAATTGTTCGGCCGAAAATGGTGCGTGAATTTGCGTTGAATCGGCCCGTCGCGACTGGCCTTCAACCCCGTGCCGATATTATGATTCGTGTCAATGCACTATATTAGAAAGCAAAAACGTCAGTGCAGTCAGAAATGAAACGTCAGTGCAGTGACCAACAAGTGAATGCGAATCACACAGAGAGTGATGTGCGATCGCACATCCTCATACCGAAAGTGAGAAGTTAGAGATAAAAACTATCTTATCGTGCGTCAAAGAAACACTTTCGCGCAATTTCACTTCCGATACTTTTCTGACTTTCTTAATGTGTGTACCTTGTAGGGAAACATGGGACATAACGGAACCATGAGGTATAATAGAACATAGTCGATAACTTTTTACAGAGATATTGCCATATAATGAAATGTTTTGCAATTATTACTGTTAAATGTCTCTTAAATGTCGCGTGTTGTTATTAGTTGTTATTCTTAGCTGAAAGATGTTACAAATTATTCAATGCATTTGCTATGCGTTCTCCGCAACTATGTTACAATTTGTTTGGTACATTTGCACAGAATAAACAACAAAAATTCTTCTTTTTATTAACGTATGTACATAAATTAGACGATCTTTTCTCGTCATTTTAATTAAATGCCTGTGCAAATATTAACTAACTATGATAGTTTTGTACTACATAACTCAAACTTATTTCATATATAACAGGATTATGCCATTATGTTTTTAAAATATTAAATTGCATTATTTCTTTATCTATGTTGTGTTATGTTTCAAAAAATTGATACCGAAATTTACCAAATAAAATGATTGTTCTTAATATTTGAATAAGAAAAGAATATAGTTTTATCGATTTATAAGGAAAGCGTTCTTAATAAATGATTATAAATAATTATAATTATAAATTAAACGTGCAGTAGTACATTTTTATATATTGCGTGTTTTAATAAATTTATGATCACTTTTAAAAATTTGTTAAAATTAATAATTGGAAAATAAATAAGTTTTGTGAAGTATCCCATTTTGCCCCGCGTAAAGAATATAGTGAGATTATATGTATATATATACAGGGTGACGCCAAACGTTCCAGCCAGGCTTAGAGATCTTGTAGGAAATGTAATTCTGAACAAAAAATGTTGTATAAACATGGGTCGAAAAATTATGTTTTTAAAAAACATTTTTTCAAATATCTAGGAAAGTATGCTTTCTTTTTTTTAAAGTATGGAAGCCAAAGTTGTAGAATATTAAATTTTCTTTGACATGAGGCAAAAATATTTTTATTATGTTTCATAGGTCTTGATATAACCTGTTTTAACCAGTTAACTGGTAATGACGCATTGCGCACACTGAATAACTACGATAAATTTCGATAGATGTGCATAAAACTTGGTATCCTAGAGTTTTTTTGGCTTGCTGAATCGGCATCTGAGTTGGGCGGTAACTTCTTAAGGAAGCATTTTTCGACCCATGTTTATAGCAAATTTTTTGTTCAGAATAACATTTCCTACAAAATCTCTAAGTCTGGCTGGAACGTTTGGTATATATGTGTGTATGTATAATTTATGCTTTCAATAAAACAATTTTGTCCTTCTAAATTATCTTTTTTGTTATAGTAAAACTTATGTTTCTCTTATAGTAAGTAATTCGAAGAATATTTTGACGCAAAACTAAATTTATTTATTTATTTTTAATATATTTGAAACTTGTTTAAATCTTAAGGTTCCCATTATCCCGTGTTCTTCTACGACTAGCGGTTATCCATTTCTAATTTTTCTACGCTCTGAATAAATATATATTCAAAATATGTCACTCATATTAGGTCAATCAAATAATTCAATTCAGTTTCTCAATAAAATTTAAAAACAAATTATTCATCAACTAAATAATCACCATCATTATCCAGGATCTTATGTGTTCGTTTATCTTAGTTGTAAAAGAGAACCGCTTTACCGTCGAAAAAAAACAGAAAATCAACTCGAATATTTTGACTTACCCAATATTTTATTAACCAACTGAACACGCTCGTCATTTTCATAGCAACTCAGAAACCGTCGACACCGTTCAATTCGCCGACAAAAAAACGTTAGACAGGTCAGTCGGTCGAGCATTTTCTTGAATCCATTTCCGCAAGCCTATCTACAGCTATTTTTGTGTCTCTCTTTCTCTTCCAATTATTTAGGTCACGGACACTTAGACGAAAGGAAGAAAGAAAGAGGGAATCTGTTCTTTCTCCCGCGCAGTCGACACTTCGTCTTTACTCAGCTTATCGATATCGAATAAGCATGAAAATGGATTAACTTATTCAATCCTAGACTTAAATTCCTTTTTATGCACAATAATTAATATACAAATAAGTAATTTATAAAAAGAAAGCACAAACTAATAACAAACAGTATAAACAAAAAAAATTGAAAAAATTCTAAAAAACATAATAGTTAATAAATATATTAATATATGTATTGTGTGAAATAGTATGAGACAGGAAAAATAGCGACGAAAGAAATTCATTGCAGAATGTATAACCGCATGTAACAAAAACTTTTTATTTCAAATAAGAAAGACAACATTCTGTAATTTACTGATAAAAAATTTCTGATAATTTCTGAAAATTTCTGATGAAGGAAAGAATTGGTTGAATTAACATGACGATGAAGTGACCAAACACGTTTTGGTCATAAGAAACAATTTCTGTTTCTTAGAGTCGAATTTGGTTCGTAAGAACCAAAAATTCTGTTTTCCTCAATCAAAACATCCGTGGTTCGTTCGTCGTCACGTATATTCCGATCTTTTTTTTCAATGCACAACTTAAAAGAGGATAACGAAGTAATCAATGATTTGGTTAGACAAGAAATTCCAAAGATAAGATCAAGGGGAAAGAGAAAGAAAGAAAGAGGGAAGGAGGAAAGGAGAGAAAGAGAAGGAGAGGAAGGAAAATAAATGCGTCAACAAAGGAAACATAGGGGTGCAATTTTGTGGCGCCAGTTCTTCGCATTCATTTATCGCACGTAATAAAGAAGGGGATGTCTGATATATATATATATATATATATATATATATATATATATATTTGTTTTTTATACTACCGTGGTAAAAGCGTCGAGACGCCTGGCGTCTGCGCATCGCGCGGGTCGCGCTATGTATAGACAGCGATATATAGCTGGGGCATCGCGCGGTTCCTTCGTGCGAATTATATGTTCATTGCAGGGCCGGTCATCGGCCAAAGCGCAACGTGCCGAGGTATCTCTCGTCGGTCGTTGCCGGGTCACTCGAAAGTCGACACAAGTGCACTTAAACATACACATGCAAACCATAATACCTGCGAACGAGTGATCAGTTACTTCTTTCTTTTTTTCCTCTCTCTTTCTCTCTTTCGGCGAGTGTACATTTCATACCGTGCTCCGTTTTCCACGCTATTTGGTCTACGTTCGTCCGTGGTCTACGCTATTTGGCTAATCAGGTAGATAAAGTGACACAGTGCGGAATTCAAGCACTTTTGTTCTCCGTGAAGTGGAGAATGTGAGTGAAATCTGAATGTGAAAATTCTGCGAAAACGAGGTGATTTTCATCAGCTGCCGATATTGTCAAATGACGTTAAAATCAAGATGGATCATTGAATAGATATGATGCGTTGATGTGCCAACTCAAAGGGATCGTATCACTTGGAACCGGCATCGGTTGAACCAGAAACAAGGTTTCTGCCATTCATATTATATAAATAATTTAATAATGAATCTGTCGTAGCAGAATCAATTTGGCATTGAAATTTTAACGGAAATTCTTTATCATCGAAATATTTTATATCGAATATTGAAAGACTGCGAAACCTTAAATTTCCGATTGTTTTTTGTTTACTTCTCGCAAAATAAAACCGTAAATAAATGTCTCGCTTTTTTTGTAGACTGCAACTGAAATTAGAATTTTTATCTGGCTTTTAAACCAAATGTTATGCTTGGAGGTCAAGAAGTGCGTATTTATAACAATGAATACGCATAAAGCGCTATCGTTTCTCTAACAATTTTTCCTCGGCAAAACGATTCTTGTGGTTACGACTTGACTCGCCGAGTTTCATCACTTTGCGACACGAACAAAATCGTATCGAGCAAAATTTCTGGTTGCGTAGTCAGAAGAGCAGAGATGCGCTCGGAGAAAAATCGGTTGTAAATTTCGGTATACATGAAACGACAACGCGACGGCATAATCTCGGCGCGAGTAAACATTTGTTTTTCGCGCGATTATCTTCGCGGACTGGCGACCGCGGAAAGCGACGTGAATTGTTTAATCGCTATTAATTATCCTTAAGTAATCTTACGTTAATCGCCCATCGTATTATCATTGTTGTCTAGGTACGTCGTCGTTGAATTAATAAGGCAGTTGCGAGGACTTGGCTCGATCGAATAGACGAAGCAAAAAAAATCTCCGACAAATGTCACCTTAAATTGCTAATTTGACAAAATATCAATACAATATTAATTTTTTTAGAAATAATAGGTCACCATCAACATGAATTTTAAACATTTTTGCACATTTCAATTATGCATAGTAGTAATATAAATTTATATCTAAGTAAGGTAAGTCATTTTTAACGTTAGATTCTAAGATATTTCTATTTTTCATATATATATATAAAAAGAAAATGTGTAGGAAATAATTTATATAATTGAAAGGGTTAGGAAGGGAGGCTGTTCGCAATATTTATTACTTTCAACCACACATTTATTCTTCTAATATAAAATACAATAAAAATATTTTAAAATCTAACATTAGGCGAATATATATCTCGAAATAGAATTGAAAACGCGCGCGCAAAAAATACATAAATCTTTCGATATGTCATTAATGATGAATTGCACGCATTTACCTCGATGTAAGAACGCGCATTGTCTGAACTTTCTTTTTCAATTCGCGCGACATTCCTCTCCTCCCTCTAGTTTACCAATCTTATCGATCCTGGTACTTGATACTTCGCGGAAAATCATATTGCATGCAAATAACACACGATTTCCAATGTCGGAGAGAAATGTGAGGCATGCGATTATATCGCATTCTCGGGAATTAAAGAGCGCGATCGACGGCAGTTTGCGACTTCCGAGGAAACGACGACCGCTATTGTATTCAATGTATGAGAGTCAGGTAAATACTTGTAACTCTCGCAAGCTCCGCTTGAAGTACAAAATAATGTCCAGATTAGCTCTGAGAAGATGCCATCTCTCTCGCATCAAACTCTTCGGCTCGGGATCGTCGTGAAAATCGGGTTCCTCGAATCGACACTCCGTGATAACGCGGTAAAATGCAGACGATCTTTTCTGTCGCTCTAGATATAACTCGTTGCGTGCTCGGTGAAGCCTGCGCGGTGCACGTGAAAGCGATAAAATCGTTACTATGCTTTCCGATATCGCGGGGTGGATTTGCCCAACAGAGCACGAACTCTCTTTCCCTCCTCTGTGTGAGGGCGAGTTACCGGCACGGAATGTAGACGTACCTGGCCCCAAACTATACACGAACTCAGAGTATTGATCACGCCGACGTCGGCGCGACGTTCTCAAGCGGCCATCTTTAGAGGGAAGAGGAAATCGCGCGAAAATTTTCCGCACTCCTTCTGTCCTAACGATAACGTCCCAGCGATAGCGGTGACAAACCGTCGTCGAAATTTTCTCGTTCGCCATTACTTGCTCCGTGATTTCCTGAGGTCCGAATTGTTTTCCATTTTTCTTCTCAACCGATACATGGAAATTTGTTTAGATGAATATTCGAAAAAATCATACTCCACATCGGTAATTTTTATATTAATATATAGAATGTCTTACCTAACGTTAGATCCTAAAATATTTTTGTTGTTTTTGATGTTGGAGAAAAATGTATAAGAAATTTTTTTTGTAGTTGGAAAGATTGGAGCTGACTTATAATATTTATTCCCAGAAAAAAACGGTGATATGTGTAATATTGAAATATTGAGATATTAATATTGAAATTGAATATAGGCGAATTTTGTCTCTATATGATCATATATACAAGGTGTTAAGTTTCAAACATAACAGATCAAATATTTCGAAAATTAAATAAAATATCGAATTCAGGTCTTTTTAGGTTGCATTGTTTTGAGAAATTAATTTTTTTATAAGAAGAATTTGACTTCGGGTAGAAGTGTCAAGGTGAAATGAAGATCACGTTCATTTTTTAAATGGAACTCTAATTTTGTAAATACCTATATTTATAGCCCTTCTCACGACAAATTTAATGACTACACAAGCAAGATAATTGGAGATGAAATGACGGAAAACTTGACGGAGTACTTTTCCATTTTAATTTAGCCATCAGACAATACATGAATGCTGTTTTTCCTGATTGATGGGTAGATCGAGGAGATTAAATATTTTGGCCACCCAGAATATTAGATTTTACCTACTAGATTATTTTTGGAATAAAATCCGAGAAATTGTTTATGTTAATCCCCCAACTACTTGGAAAAATATAATGCAACAAATACACGAAGCATGTCGAATAATTTCAAAAAAGTGAACTGATTTTCCACAAAGATTGCAGGCTTGCATAAATTCAAGAGGATAACATTTTGAACATTTAAATCAATAGAATTTTCTTTTTCAAAAAAAGAAAAAATTTAGTTGACTTTGACTCTACTACGTAGACGATTTTCGTAGACGAAAATTTTTTTCGTCTTTTTAAGATTTTCTTCTTTGTTTGAAAATTTACTTATAAAGTTTATTTTTTCTTTTCTTCATTAAAATATATTTTTCTTCTGAGTTTTTTTTCCGTCATTTGATCACATTGGATATGTAGTCGTTGATCGTCATCATCAATTCGTCGTGAGGACTATAAATATAGATATTTAAAAAATTTAAGTTCCATTTTAAAAAATAAATTTTATTTCCATCTTACCTTGACGTTCCTATCCGAAATAAAAAATTATTTTTATCAAAACGTGTACCCCTCAAAACAATATAATCTAAAAACCTTGAACGCGAATTAAATAAAATATATAATCATAGTCATCATTTACACAGAGACAAATAATGTTAATAAAATGACAAATAATGTAAATGAAAAAGAAAGAAATAATTTCATTTTATTAAATGTCGGCATCATGTGCTGTCAGAAACATAAACATTTGCTTCGATTGTATTTGTATAACAATATTTCTTTCATATTGTGAATATATATAATTACACATGATTATAGAACCATATAAGGACAACATTCATATATGATCTTTTTTTTTGGTTCTCTTTTTATCACAGAATTTACTCATTTTCTTTTAATATAAAAATAATAGGGATACTTCAGGATCTAAAGTTAGGTGACTTATCCTGTATATTTTATAGAAGATTGTTAAAAACGATTTTTAGCAAGAACCAACTGCTGAGAGACAGCATTAATTATCGAGATGCAAACCAAAAATCTCAAAAACTTTCAAAAGTATAAAATAATTTTAAATCAAGATTTCAATATAGCTACAACACTCTATCTAATAATGGAGCACTGAACGTTCCAAAAAATCAACCAAACGTCTTAGTTGTAATTCCGACTCTCTCCAGTGGAAATAGAAAGGAGAAATAATGCACAAGTATCTAATTTTCTAACTATATTATAAGTTAATGTGAAAACCTGACTCTGATCCAATCAATATTTCCAATCCATACTTTTTTTGTTATTTATTTACCTACTATAATACAGAGTATTACTTGTATTTAGAGTACCTGAAAATTTTAAATACAGCTATAATGTATTACTAGAACTCATCAAAATAGACAAAGATAGCCTTATATTATTTTGCAAACAACCACGTAAAATATTGAGTCATTAATTAAAAAAGAATGGCTAAATAATCGCACTCGCGATGCGCCACATGAGAGTATATATTATTATTAGACACCCTGCATAGTCTGTACTAATTTTTTCTATTAGTAGAGTATATAAAATAATTATATAGAGAAGTCATATAATCACATACACTTCACCAATCTTCACCAATCATCACCAATCATCACCAATCTTCTTCGTTCTTGTATTATTCTTCATATTCACCATTCTATATATATTGAGAGAAAAAATGATTGACCCAACTAAAATTATATTTATTTTTTACTCCAACTATATTTTTGTAATGAAATGATAATAATAACATGTATATGTATAAGGTTGTTATCACACAAACATTATAGTAAAATTTATATTAAAAATGTTTTTCTTAACTATAATTTATAGTAATTATTTTTCTATGTAATTATAGTTACAAATACCAAATAGTTATTTCTTGGTGTATGAAGTGTTCTTCCGATATCCTTTGTGATAAATCCATAGTCATATAATATTTGTGCATTATTTCTCCTTTCTATTTCCACTAGAGAGAGTCGGAATTACAACTGAAACGTTTGGTCGATTTTTTGGAACGTTTAGTGTTTGTAAATTATTTGTAAATGTAGCGTGTTTCGCATTCGACATCTTACATGGCTTCTTATCACTTATTCGATCTAAGTTTGATTGTGTATCTGAACTGATAATTTATTCAATATTTCTTCTTTTCTTTTTAAAGACGATTGAAAATGAAATTAAGAATTTTGATACATTTTTTTAGATATTATAAGGTGATATTGCAATAGTATGAAGTTAACATACACTGTATTAATTTATTGTTTACTTTATAATTTGAAGGAAGTCTTTGGTTATATTTTTTTAAAGAATGTGATGTTGTGTGTGTGTGTGTGTGTGTGTGTGTGTCAACAATCGTTTTCATATATTTTTAACAATGCTTAAACTACTTTGAACGTATGATCATACAGACTATTTTATTATTTATATATATATATATATATATATATATATATATATATATATA